CAACTGGTTGAAGCAAGTGGCCGCTCGTCCTGAGCCTGGTTCTGCTGGAGGTTTCTCCATGTTAAAAAGGAGTTTTTTCTTTCCACTTCTCCTTTGTGCTTGCTCAGGATAAAGACTATGATGAAATTGACTCAACACAATTTTCTGCTTCCTTTGGTAAGAGAACTTTTACGAATTGGCTTTTGTATGTATGTGAATGTTTTTGTTAAGTACTCTGAGACGACTTCTGTTGTGATTTGGTGCTGTATAAATAAACTGAATTTAATTAAGTGTGTTCAAATGAAAAACTGTTTCTGAAATGTTTGATAATAACCCAGTAATGGTCAAGTTATCTGGACAGCTTTTTTGTTGTTGTTGAGAAACGTTTCACCCTCCATCCGAAGGGCTTCATCGGTCTGAGGAGTCCCAAGTAAACTGTTTCCCCATCAAGCAGTACACTCCTTTAGTGGACCAACCAGTTTGCTGGTGATAAGATGGTTTCTGGAGGCTGTCCTCTCCCCCATCGACTCCTCCCAGGCAGGCAGCCACAGCCAAAGTGATTCAAGCCTTCAAAGTTCATGCTCAATCATCAAGGTACAAAATCCAATAATAGTCTGTCAGATCATATGGACAGTTTCTTTCTTTCTTTCTTTTTGAGACAGCCTGGACCTGGATTGTCTCAACAACAACAAAAAAAAAAAAAGAAAAGAAACCGTCCAAATGACCTGACTGACCATTATTGGACTTTTTTTACCTGGATTACTGAGCATGAACTTTGATGGCTTGATAATAACAATGGTGTGATGGTGTTTGTTTTGGAACTCTTTTTTTTTTCATTTTGGATTATAATAATAATTTCCCTGAACATCTATATATCTTGCCATGTATGGCAGGTAGCCATGTGATTATTTGTGTCTGTGTGCATCTGTTCTTTGGCGGTGTGCTAGCAAAATATTTGAACTTGTGGACATATTTTAAATAAATTCTCAAAAGTAAACAGTAAATGCACATTTATAACTGATTCCCTGTAGTAGTTAATCTGACTTAAGATGGCCACCACAGCTAATCAAATTTAGCAAACACAAAAATAACTACAGTAGTCCCTCGCTACTTCGCAGTTCAACTTCTGCGGACTCGCTCTATCACTGTTTGTGGATGTACAGTCTATACTATTGGACAAAAATAAATAAATTGTACAAGACACATAATTGTGGATTGTACAGTAATACAGCATCACTGTAGTCATGTGGTTATGAAAAAGTTAATGACAAAAGTAAAATACTTCGGACAGGTGCCGCCATTTTATAGTTTTCTCTCAGTAATCCTCCACTGTATTCCCACTCATAATGACCACATTTCCCAGAAGGCAACAGGGCCCCACCCAGAAGACCCATTTCTTTCTGCTGAAAAAAATAGAGGTAAAGTTTTGATCTGATCTGATTTTTCATCTCTTTCAACAGGCCAACGATGAGCAGTCACTGGAAGCGCGCGGCCGATGACCGGTGATCCATCTGAAGCTTAACGGTACTTTTTCCATCTCTTTCAAAGCGAGGATCCGCTGGTAAGTAACATTTAGTAGCTACATATAAGTAAGTTGTTAAAACTAGTAGATTTAAGAGTTTAGAACATTGATTGTGGGTTTTGTTGCTACAGGGTACGTCTGCAGAAACGGGAACAGATTCAGACTGGAAACGAACCGAGTCGCTCCTGTTCTGCAGAGGCCGGTAAGTAAAATTTAGTAGGGCGGCTGTGGCTGAGTGGTTAGAGCAGTCGTCCTCCAATGCGAGAGTTGGGGGTTCGATTCCACCAGCAGCTACATGCCAAATTGTCCCAGGGCAAGACACTGAACCCCTCACTGCCTCCGATGTGTGTCCCATCTGTGTATGAATGTGATAAAGCTCTGATTAGTCTTTGTAGAGATCTAGTAGAGTGCTGTATGAATGGGTAAATGAGGCACAGATTGTCGTGTAAAGAGCTTTGAGTATCTTGATCAGATAAAAAAGTGCTATATAAGTACAGTCCATTTACCATTTACATATACTGTATAGTACTGTACGTACATTGTTAAAATTATGTAGGTTTAAGAGTTTAGAATATTGCAAGAGTGTGGGAAGGGTTTCTAAAACCTTAAAATATATACAGCATAAATACTAAAATAAATAGTCTATCTTCCCTACTTCGTGGTTTTTCACTTATCGCGTGGGCGGGAGGTCGCTGGAACCTAACACCTGCACTAAATGAGGGACTACTGTATAATTCAGTCAGATACTAAGCTTAGATTTGGTGTGGTAGTTGCTGAATGTTATGCCCATCACTCTGAGCAGTAAGAGATCACTTGATCCTTTTCTTTAACATTTTGGAATACAAGGTTAGATGGTAGACATTCATTCAGTAAACACTCCATTTGAATAAAAAAAAGAAGTATTGAAAAACAAAAATTGCATCTTTCATTTTTGCTACAAAGCATGTTTTATTTCATTTTAATGATTTATTATAATGGACATACAGTAACTGTATGATTAGTAATCAAAGCACCAGAATTATTTTGTAAATAATCCATCCATCCATCCATCCATCCATCCATCCATCCATCCATCCATC